TCATCAAGTTGGTTAAATCAGTCATTTGCCCGACCTGAACAGCCAAGAGTGATTAGACCGCATGCATCAATAGCTCCAGTTGAGTTGGAAAAAACAGAAGGCAGTGGGTTTAAGATTTTTGGGTTTAAAGTTGATACAACCAATGCTCCTAACAATCACTTGAGCTCCCCGATGGCTGCAACACATGAGCCTATGCTTCAAACTCCATCATCATTGAATCAGTTGCAACCTGTACAAACTGATTGCATTCCTGAGGTATCAGTAAGCACAGCTGGAACGGCGACTGAGAATGAGAAAAGCGGTCAGCAAGCTCAACAGAGTTCAAAAGATGTTCAAAGCAAGACTCAGGTTGCTTCGACGAGGAGTTGTACAAAGGTATAGTATTGTTTTCTTGATGGTCATGACAATGTGCATGTCTTTTCTGTTGCACAATTTTCTTTTACTTAAGAATTACTGAATGTTTGTTGTCTAGATTATGCTAGCTGTTGAGAACAAACTATCCAGTCATATCAGAGTGAATTGATTCTGGTGGTGTTAAAGCACATATTGTTCTTTTATTCAGCACATGAAGTTTTTTCTTCTCGTAGTTGACATGCTGAAGTTCTCGTTTTGTAAATTTCTTGCAAAATCTCAGTTTTATCCCCTTTGTGGTATGGTAAACCCAATTTTGCTATTTCTTGTCCCAAAAAAAAATCATGAGCAATATTATTCAGTGCAGCATGAGTGTGTCAAGTTTGACTATTGGTCTGCACTATGTAATAACATCATGTCATTGATTCTTCATGCAGGTCCATAAGCAAGGCGTTGCACTTGGCAGATCTGTGGATCTTTCAAAGTTCAGTAACTATGATGAACTCAAAGCTGAGCTAGACAAGATGTTTGAATTCGATGGTGAATTGGTGTCTTCAAACAAAAACTGGCAAATTGTTTATACTGATAATGAGGGTGATATGATGCTTGTTGGAGACGACCCATGGGAGTAAGGCTTCTATCTTGGGTACCTGCTTGATGTTTTGTTAAGCTTTCCTTCCTAATACTGATTCTAGCTGGTTCATTTTATGAGCAGAGAATTCTGCAGCATTGTGCGGAAGATTTATATTTACACCAAGGAGGAGGTCCAGAAGATGAATTCGAAATCAAATGCCCCAAGGAAAGATGACTCTTCAGAAAATGAGAAAGGTCATCTGCCGATGCCCAACAAATCAGATAACTAGGTATGCCTGCTAAATTGCCTTATCTGGATTAATTTATTCAATTGTCGATAAAACTTGAAAACAAGAAAGGAAGTCGTAGATTGGAAGTGTAGCCGTAGGATAGTAAAATTCGGTTTCTGTGAACTTTTATTCTCTTTCCATTGCCTCTGCCTGGCTTTTACTTATTCTTGATCTGCAAGCATGGTCACGTGATATTGTTGTTTGCTATGAAGAGCTTGCTCCGAAAGCGATTCACCTTTCAGTTGCTGTTTTTGGCGTTTGTGCAGGTTCAGTGAAGCGAGATGATACAAGAGGTAGATCGCATGGAGTCTTGAGAGAGAGATGCCATTCTGCGGGTCCCAGTCAAGTAAACCCCCTGATGTGTTGGTGATCACCCCTGCCCCCCCTTTTGCTTATCTGATGGCTGATGCAATGCAAACCCTATGGCTTTAGCTAGTATGAGATGTAGACTGCCTATTGTTTATCCTTTTGTTCCTTTTTCTTCTCTTGGCAGAAAGATTTAGGGCCAAGATTTATCATTATTGCTATTGCCCCTCTCAACTCCTCCCAACTCTCTGATGTAAATATTTATCTACGTAGCCAGCCACCCAGCCAGAAGTAGAGCAGTAGTAGTAGAGTTACCCCCTACCTTGTATTAACCAGCAGCCTATTCCCCCGGATAAATTTGTGTAAGCTCTGTAGCTCGAGATAAAAAAAAATGGCGATCGAACGAACGAACAAATGGCGTATGTATTGTCTGATCTTTGATATAAATATTTATCAATGAATGTATCATAGATGGATATAGATGAAGGCATGCTGCAACGTGTTTAATTTGGCAACGTTGGTGTGGAAAAGCAGAAAGCTGAGAGATCATTGTTTTGTTGTATATGCTCGTCCAGTAATCGATTGGTGATTTGGCAGCAGTTGATTGCGTGGTCGGGGGAGGGGGATGGGGATGGGGATGGGGATGGGGATGGAGACGCGGCCGTGTGTTGGGGGTGTTGGAACAAACAAGACTTGGTTGGAATTGGATGGCCGCGTCGTGAGTGCTGGTGGGCGCCCACTTTGCCTCCTCTCCCTTATCATCATCTTCTCTTCTTGTTGATTCCTACGGTAGGTACTAGCTGATGAGGAAGTCTTGAGTGGTGCGGTCTTGCAGTGCAAACCAAGGGAACAGGAAATAAAAGGGGAATAGTAGTATTGGCATGGCATATGCTGCAACCCCCTTGTGTCACTTTCGGTGCTCGTGTGTTTCGTTGACTAGAGAGAATGGCAGGTGCTCTGTCCGTCCCATAAAAAGTCTCATAAAATAAAAAAAAACTTATACTGGATATGACACATTCTATTACAACGAATCTAATACTAGAATGTGTCATATCTAGTTCTAGAATCGTTTTTTTTCCAAAAAACATTTAGTTTTAGATTTGTTTTTTTTTTTCCAGATGGAGGGAGTACTCCAGAAAGCTGCCTCTACTAGTGTGCTCTCAATACTGCGCTACAGTAGCTAGTACCACTGCTATTGCTGCAGTGCTTACCTGGGACATTTTGTTGCGATACTTAGTGTTGCGAGGACTTGATCACTCGTCGACCGGCTTTCCCATCGATGGAGAGAGGAGAATGAATGGATCAATCAATCCCTCTATCCCTTCCTGTGGGGGAGCACTGAAGAAGTCGACTTTGACCGAGTAATTGACTGCATCGGGAGGTCGTCACGGGGAAGATGAGATGCGATCAACACGAGCCGACGCCGACGGCCACCGAGTCCAACGCCGGTGCTGAGCCTCAGCACACAAATAATTATAATTGAGTATTAATTATTACTCCCTCCATTCTAAATTAATTTACATATAATATTTTTGAGATTATTCCTAAATGATCTACATATTTGTGTTCATTTATTAAGTCTATTCGTTATTTGTGTATTGGAGTAAATGGACATTAATACATGCATCCATGCACACAAGTATTTATAACCCACATGCAATATCTTGATTTGCTATTGGCTAAGAAATAGTGGGAATGGTGCATGCATTGAGTTTGTTGCTAAAGTAAATATAGTATGAGAGAGTTATTAGTTTTTCTTGGTCTTGGTGTACCTATGAAATATGTAGATCAATTTGGAATAGAGGGAGTACAAATTTTAGAAATAAATTTATTTGATTTTTTTGAAAAAACTTATATATATATATTTTAAAAGAACCGTGCGTTAAATTTGAAAACCGTGTCAACGGAAGGAGCTGAAGTTTAGTTGAAGAAAAGAACGGGGCTTGCACGGCACTGGCAGGTGGGCCCGTCCTACTTCGCATAGCAGGCGTAGCACATGCTGGGCCGGCCCGCTCGTGGTGGCAGTGGCACTGACAAGGCGGGGCCACTGAAAGCGAGGTGGGGGGCCCATCTTGGTTGGGCCTGACAGGATCGAGTCCACGCAGGCGGGCGAGTCCAAGCGCGTGGCGACAAGGCCTCTGCTTTACTCGTGGCCAGCAGCCAGCAGCCAGGGCCCCACGCGATTCTCTGTCTCTCAGACTCTCACTCGTCTCGTTTTTCTCATGCTACTCCTACATTTGCATCACTAATTCACTACCTCCTCTGTGCCTTTTGTTGTACGACCATGGCCTGGATCGATGAATCAGTGATCTCCGAATCAAAGTCCAAGTCTTCTCGACTTCTCCTCTTTAGAAGGGCATCCACGAGAATATTCTATTCAACCACCTATTACCATTGTGCAACTAGTCCATATAGAAAAATAGCAAAAGATACCCATATACATATGGACTATCCATATGGAATAAATTATATTATCTATCTCTACTCCTCTCTCTTCTCCTAATGATACCTTGTATCTATATACATTGTGGACATTGCCATATGGATAAACTATTTATGTGGGTTCCATTTATATGGATCACTTTGCCATATACATTGGTGATGCCCGAACTAGTTCAATACTAATACATCAAATTACTAACTTCATATATATATATATATATATATATATATATATATAGTCAGTTCGTACATTAGTTATTTATACTAGTAGTACACTATTAATATCTGGTGACATCTATCATACACACATTATGTCTTAAAGTCCGTGCTATAGCTGATTATAAATATGTAGCCCACTACTCTTGTTTTTTTATAGCTTCATGTAAAAGAAAAAAAATGTTTATAGCTGATATAGAGCAAGTATAATAGTAGGCTATAAGCCGGCTAAATGCTGAGTTGGAGGAAAGAAGAGAGGAGAGAGAGGAGAAGCGGGCTGTGAACTAACAGCCGGCTTGGATGCAAGAACCAAGAAACTCTTTGAGAGAGACAAGTGGACTCTGTATTAATTGTGAAGAGCTAACTATTATATGGGTAGGTTGAGAAAAGTCTATAAAGAACCTTATAGCCAGCAGGTCGGCTGTATTATTAGCCTTGCTCTTATAATCTGTTATGTTATGGTAACTACTGTTACTAGTTTTGAATCGAAATGCTAGTGAGTACTAATGCTTCGTTGACAATCCAACGTGACCAATGCTCCTAATAACTCATCGAGTCGTCATCATCATCTCTCACATAGCATCTTTGACAAAAACACTTTAGTTCTGCACGGACGAACAGCAGCAGCAAGCATCGAATCGTTTTCGATGCCGTCTATCACGCTGTCATTACTACTCCACTTTAGGATGCGCATACGGTGAGACATCTTCTGAAACATATCAGGAACTCTTGTAGTTCATGTGAAAGTCCTGCAAAATTCCTACAGTATATTCCAAAGGAATCAAGTGTTACACAGAACAGAACACAATTGTATTGCTAGCTTCAAATTTCAGTGCCATTGATCTTAAACAAGTTCAGGCGAGGCAGTTGTCATGCAAGCTCCAGTTGCTTGCATCCTGAGTACTTACTTGCCAGAACCAGAAGAGTAAAGACAGATCAATGTACCAAACATCAAACTAAACCAACTGAATGAGAGAGAGGCAACGCCTAAGCATCGAATGCTGGTCATGCGAGTGAAGTGATAAACTGGAGGCGATGCTAGAAGGATGCAACAATTTTCAAGTGTGAGAAGAGTCTTATCAAGGACTACCTTGGATGCAATATACTCCTAGAAACTGAGGGATTATCTTTTGTAAGTTGATACAACCAATGCTTGTAAGTTGTAACAATCACTTGAGCTCCCCGATGGCTGCAAAAAACATGAGCCTATGCTACAAACTCCATCATCATTGAATCAGTTGCAACCTGCACAAACTGATTGCACTACTAGAATCAGTAAGTAGTAAAAGTACAGCTGGAACTGCGACTCAGAATGAGAAAAGCGGTCAGCAAGCTCAACAGAGTTCAAATCAAAAGATGTTGAAAGCAAAGTCTCAGGTTTTCTCTGAAGTTCATGACGATGTACTACATGTCTTTTCTGCCGCAATTTTCCTTTTTTACTCAAGTATTATTATGGGCCGAGAAATGGGCCCAAATGGCAGCCTGAATCAGGCTTGCCAAGACCTAACCCTACCAAGTCTCGCGGATGCCGCCGTTCCTTCCTCCCTCGGTAAACAAATACGAATCTTTCCTGTTTTTTTTTTTGATTTTGACGATTTCATCCTCCTTGTTGGTAAAAAAGATCTTTCCTGTTTAGTTTTTGATTCTGATTAGCTCGAATTTCGATTGATTTTGAAGTTACACTCCGACAAGAGTACAATGGCCCTCTCACGGAGGTTTCTGAATCTGATCGTGGACAACCGCTTCCCTGGATCCAAATCGCTGCGCTGCATCGACCTTACGCTCCAGAATTTCTTCAACATATCAGATTCCAAAGTTGTCGCGGCTGATGCCTCCGCAGCCATAAGCGGCAGCATGGATTGGATCCAACTTCCAAGCCCAATGTTCAACTTCCAAGCTTCAAGTGTGGCCCATCACTGGGAAATTAGCTGCTTCCCGCTAAGAGGTCGTGAGGTGCTCTGCATCGACCAGGATGAATGTTGTTTGATCTTCTTGTTACTATGCCTGACCTCTATCACCCCAAGGGATGCCCCATCTCCCTATTCGTTCCCAGCACCAATGTTGATGATGATGATGGTGATGGCACCCTCTTCATCATGGAGAGGGTCGTTAAACCGGAGTCGCCGAGAAGTTCACCGTCGCACAGCGATCAGTTCGAGGCTGTTTTCTACCGAACGCAGAGCTCTGTCCGCAGTGTTTCGTCCACCTGCAAACCTCTACCTCCACCGCCTTTCGTCAGAGACCCCAAATTCTCCAACACACGCACCACGATCAACTCGTACGCGGTGGTCAGTGGTGGATCTGAGATCTGCATTTCGGTGGAGGGTGCTGGCACTTACTGCATGGACACAGTGAAGCATACTTGGAGGCATGTAGGTCAGTGGACATTGCCATTCTATGGCAAGGTTGAGTATGTACCTGAGCTCAAGCTATGGTTTGGCCTCTCTGACAAGACCAATCACTTGGCTGCTACTGATCTCTCCGCCATGGATGACTGCTTCCAGAGGCCAGAGCTAGTGAGAGCTTGGATGGAACTCTCACCTTGTCAGCCTGGGCTCCGGCAGGTTCTGCATCGCAAGGTTCTTCTACACTCAGGCATTTTGCGGGCTACTATCGTGATCAAATAATTGATGATCCCTTTGTTGTCTTGACTGGTGTGGATGTTGTGCCGGATGATGCTAGTGGTGATGCAAATGGCAGCATGGGGGAAGTCCAGCTCCGGATGATCAAGTATTGAGTCTAAACTTGCCAGCGGTGCGATCGAGAGAGTGTTCTGAATAATTTGGATCTTTCGTTCAACTCTATCTGCTAGCATTATGTAATTTTTGGTCTAGGGCTGTAAAAGAGATTTGGTATCTTTCGTAACTTTTGTGACAATTACTAAAGTTATTTATCCATGAGATATTGATATGATGTTTAGTTTTGTTTGGTAAACAATAATCAAGTTAATAACTTTTGTGACTGTTACAAAACTAACTGACAGAAAGCCTTTTATTTTCCTATTTATTATATCTAGCCTAGATTTCATTGAGTTTTATTTCATATTCAAATTCTCCCATTTAAATTTCTTTGCAATGTTATAAACAGCTCAATTTATTCCTCTAAAATCCTATTATATTAGCACAGCTTTTTTTCCTAATTAATTCCTATGACCTATATTTTTTTTATCCTACCTACACATAAATTTCAAAGTTCCTACATCTATGACACCCCTTAACCTAAATTCTTAATCAACCCCTTCTAGATCTCTTTATTTAAATTCGTTTGAAATCCTATTCTTACAAATATTCTGAATTCAGACATCTATCTTGTTCAACATCTTCCATTTAACACCTTCCCAATTTTATAAACATCTCGATTTATTTTCTTTTGGCTAACACTTGTTCTTTTAGCCATATCCCTTTTTCCATAACTTAAATTCCTTAATTTCCGCCTCCATAGACATTCTGAAGTATTTATACCAAAGGCTCGACTCTAAATTCAAATATTTATTCTTCTATCCAAATACTCTTCCTTTACACCAAAAACCCAAATAAAATCCCTATGAATTTCTCCCTCCTCCACCTAGGCCGACCACCAGCCCATCCTTCTTATCCAGTCCTCAGTAGCCCATCAGGCTCCAGGCCCAGAGTCGCGGCCCACTGATCCGACCTCTTCTCCTCCTCACCCCCCTCCGCCGTCACGACTCACGAGCCCTCACGAGCAAAAATCTTTCCTGCTTGATTTTGATTTTGGTGAGAGCTCGAATTCAATTTCCAAGTTGATTCCGACAATACCGAATTTCATCCTTCTTCTTGGTAGTAACAAGTACGAATCTTTCCTGTTTATTTTGATTTTGATGAGCTCGAATTTTGATTGAATTTGAAGTTCACCCCAACAATGGCCCTCTCCCGGAGGTTTCTGAACCTGATCATGGACAACCGCTTCCCTGTATCCAAATCTCTGCGCTGCATCGACCTCACGCACCACTGCAATCTCTTCAACGCCACACCACCGAATTTCTTCAACGGATCAAAATCCACCATAATCAGAGTGGAGAACAGGATTCAACTTCCAAGCCCCATCTTCAACTTCGCAGCAGGTTTCGGCGAAGCTACACGTGCAGGTTTCGGCGAAGATTGGAGGATGGATTGCCTGCCGTTTCTTGATCGCAGGGTGATCTGTGCGGACCAGTCGGGACGCTGTTTTCTCTTCGAGGCAGACAGGAGCCGCGTGGTTATGCTGCCTCGTCTTCACGGACCCAAGCAGGTGCCCATCTCCATCCTCATCCCCTGCCCTGAAGAAGAATCCGGTGAATTCGACGGCGGCAACTTCTACATCATGGATAAGATGAGCAGAGCTGGAGTGTCGGGAACCAATCAGTTCGAGGCGTTCGTCTACTGCCACTATCGTGGAAGTCGCATCATGAAATCATGGACATGCCAGCTTCTCCCGCCACCGCCGTATGTTTATGACAGAACATACTTGGGCCGATGGCTGGAGATCAGATCTTATGTTGTGGTTGATTATGGCTCGAAGATCTGCATCTCTGTCAAAGGTGTTGGAACCTATTGTATGGACAGGAGGAGCCTCACGTGGAGTCACCTGGGAAAATGGATGCTACCCTTCATTGGCAAGGTTGAGTATGTACCTGAGGTCAAGCTCTGGGTTGGCATTTGTTCAAGCACCCATGAACTGGCTGCTGCTGATCTCTCATCGATGGATTCGCAGCCACAATTAGTTGGTACTTGCAAGGAGTTTGAACCGCCGGAGGAATGGAAGCAATGCAGGGATCCTCAACTTGTCAACCTGGGTTCCGGCAAGTTCTGCGTCACAAGGTTCTTTCGCAATCAGGCTCCCAAAGGGGATTCTGATGATGAGTTCATTGGGAGGAACATTACTGTCTTGACCGGTGTGGAGGTGATGCAGAGTGCTTGTCATGGCAATGGCAATGGCAATGGCAATGGCAGCAGTGGGGAAATGGAACTCCAGATGATCCCTCACAGATCGAGATGGTATGGTGGCGATACCATCGGGACAGTGTGCTGAATAAAATGTTTCATCTGGGACAACTCAGTATCTTGTCGGACAAATTCTGCTCTTCTGTGCTGCCCATTTCATACTTCGATGTATTTTGGTAGTATCCTCTGCAGTGGTTTGTAATGTAGCACGGGTGTGTTTAGTTTGCGAAAAGAAAATTTTTGGGTGTCACATCAGATATTTGATCGGATGTCGGAACGAGTTTTCGTACACGAATGAAAAAAATTAATTTCATAACTTGTCTGGAAACCGCGTGACGAATCTTTTGAGCCTAATTCAGCCGTCATTAGCACATGTGGGTTACTGTAGTATTTATGGCTAATCATGGACTAATTAGACTTAAAAGATTCGTCTCGCGATTTCCATGCAAACTGTGCAATTAGTTTTTGTTTTTATCAATATTTAATGCTCATGCATGTGTCTAAAGATTCGATGTGATGTTTTTAGGGAAAAAAATTTTGAGTACTAAACCAGAGGCCTTAGTTAGATGAGTGATGACATGTCTTGCTGTGACATAGAAAGGAGAACGCAAACTAAGACTTTAGATCAAGTTTTTTTAATACTTTTAAGGCACTTTAGATCCAAAGTGAAAGCACATTCAAGCGAGGAACTTGTGACGCATGCTCCAGTCGTTTTGCATCCTGGTAAAAAACAGATCGAGCTACCAAATGTCAAACTAAACCACCTGAACTAGCGAGGAAACAACGCATCGAATGCTGGTCATACGAGTGAAAAAATAACTGGAGGCGATGCTAGAAAACCTGCTCCAGGTTGCAATATTTGTTTTTCTGGGGTTGTACGGACTAAGCTGATCAGCTCATGTGAAGGGCTTCTTCCTCGACTTCTGTCAGGACATCGTCCTCGAAGAACGCCTGGTGGAGGGCCTTTATGCACTGCTTTGCCTCGCTATCATGAACAATCAGAGACATGTTAACCTGTTGAAGGCGGCAACATTGATATCAGGAACCAGGACATGGATACAGCGTTGTCAAGTGTGAGAACAGTCTTATCAAGGACTACCTTGGATGCACCTTGCGAGATCATCTGGACATTCACCCCGCTTTTCCTCAACACTTGAAAGGCCTTCAAGACCAGATGTGTAGGTGTGTTCAGTGTGAGTATTGCGGCTATCCTATGGAAAGAATTAGGTATGCGCAGAAAATCATACCTTTTCCAGTATAAGAGATGATCGCCGTACGTTTCCAATGAGTGATATTATTGCCCTCTGCTGAAGTAGATGGACAACTGCAATTTTCTCAAGCTCTTCAACTACATGGTCAAGTTCCTGGAAATTTGGCAACAAAGCGAACAAGACTGAGAAGGCAATGATCAGAGCAGAATGATTCTGAGAATAGCTACATGCCACAAAACTATGGGGAAGCTAACATTTTTACTACCTATATATGCCACCTTTAGAGAATGAGCAGTCCAAGTGCACTAATGAACATTTACCATCACAAAATACCATAGTAAGTTCCATATTTATCACTAACATGCAATTAGAACCTAAAATGGTCAAAGTTGCGGACTGGAGACCGTGTTGATGTCCAAAACAACACCTAACTAGAAACTGAGGGAGTATCTTTTATAAGGCAACAGCCAATATAAACAAATAATAAGCTCATTTTTTGCAATTATATAGAGTTAGTTTTACCTTGAAAGAATGTACTAGTTTGGTCAGAAGTACCGGCATACAGTATTACAACTACTTGATTTTGCATGTAGATAGGTGCACTTGCCTGTTGAATAAGTTCCCTGCTCCAGATCTTTGATGGATCAAGCGACACAGAAATACTAACTTCACTAGTAGCCACACAATCTACAGATATCCCTAGATCTTCGAATATAGAGAAGACCTTCTCAAGCGCATACAGAGAGCGATCAGAATAATGACATGTGAATTAAAATTACTGGACCAATTGCTGAACATACCTTTGCCAGAAAACCAAATTGACCAAGCATCCGAGTGCTTACTATATCCAACATAGTGACATTTGACTTGAGCACTATGCTAGTTAGCACAACCTATCCAGAGAAAAATAAAGAACAATAGAAATAAAATCCATGGCCCGAGAGTTGAATGGTACTGATGTGAGAACATGTTTTAATTAATCTGCTACAGACCTTATCCATCTCTCTTTGTTTAGTGATCAGGGTGCCTGGAGCTTTAGGGTTGTACGAATTCTTAACCCTGACTGGTATATCACCTTCTCTAGCAGGTCTCATAGATTGTGGATGTAATACCTATCATGGAGCACAACAATGCATTACTATCAACTAAAAGTTCTCTTTTCTAAACGTGCGAAGAGCAACTTAAATTGACATAGTGAGCAAACCCTTATCACTTTGCACTTTGCATATATAGCATTTACTTTGCAGTTTGCACTTCGCACAAATATTTTCATTTACATCTAACTGTGAAGAGCGTAAGCCATTCATGCTCCAAATGAATACATACCTGGGCACCAAAATAAGCAAGTTCTGCTGCCTCTTCAAATGTTAAGTATGGCACAGTGGTTGCATTCGGGTAGATATTTGGATCACAGGTCAGTACACCATCAACATCTTTCCATACCTATGACAGGCAGTGGTATGCTTTCAGACAAAGTAGGTAGTGACTTTCTGCTCCACTAAGCTAATCAGCATGATAAACAAATTAAAATAGCAAACTGTAGGCTCTAATTTTTGTTTGTGAAGAGCAAAATTATATTTAGACTTCACCATGGACCTGAATTTCTCTCAACCCCAGGGCTTTACCAATGGTTGTAGCAGTCAAGTCACTGCCACCTCGGCCTAAAGTGGTTACAGCGCCTGATTTCCAGCCCTGCAAGTGATGACGATTGACTTCTAAAAGAAAAGGTAATAACAATTACAATGAACTAATAGTTTGCTTCATAATGAATACCCTCTGGTGAGAATACCTTCCCAAGGAACCCAGTAACAATAGGTATCGCTGGATCACGAATCCAGTCTCCATGTAATCTCTTCGCAACAGCAGGATAAGTTGCCTCCAAGATGTCCGCGTTTCCGAAATCGTCTGTTGTTATGAAACCAATATCAAATGCGTCGTACTGCAAAAGCATTGGCAAATACAATTTAAAACCAACAAAATTTCACATTACGATTCACAACACGTATAGCTGAAATTTGATCTACAGGGAATTTAGAAAGCTGCTAACGTTAGGGGAAGGAATCACAGATGCAATGGAGGATCTAATACCGAAAAGTGAAACACAGACAGACAGTGAGATACAACTAACAGGCATGAGTTTAGAAAATGTGAGGAAAAAAAAACAGCTTCAGAGGCTATCACCAAACTTTCAATACTTCCTTCCATAGTAATTAAATACTTATATGCTTGCAAATTCATGCAGATTGATAAAATCACATGCTCTGAAGAACAATGGTTCACTGCGTAGACAAAGAATATGCAAAGAAGTACCTGCCGTGCTTTTACTCCGATTTTGTTCAAATAAGCAGCAAAAATCCGTGTAGACATGCACTCCCCAAATGAAACAAGGTAGTCAGTGGTCCGAAGTGTCAGCTCTTTCATCATTGCAATACCTTTCAAGAGCTGCTCCAGTTCATCCAGCATAGCTATGAGTTCCATTCACAGGGAGCCATAAGATTATTGCATTAATGGAACGAAATCTAGAAGATGTTATTATGGTAGTGGAGTTACTGTGTATTACAGATCTTGGCAGTGCAAGTTCCTCCACAGTTCTGGATTGATAGCAAAGAAACCATCAAGTGAAATTAGAAAACAGTTTGACCAGTAAACTGTTTGAAAAGTAGACTCACTTAATGTGTAGATCTTTGATCAAATTCCACTCTTCAATTTCCGAAACACGGATCACGCCGCATCCCACTGCCTTCTCACCAGCCTACAAGGATCACAGTAACATGTGTTCAAGACTTCAAAGTAGTAGTGCTAAACAAGTAAAGATTCTTTAAGTCGCTCTGCGCTCGAATATCTCGGCTACAATGCAACAATGAATTCTGAAGGAAGGTTTGCCGTTAACCAAATTTTCATTTACTTACAGCTAAAGCTACTGTGTACTATCGTCCAGAGAGCCTATATATATAGTCAATGTTGAGACACTGCAATAGCAAATGATGGATAGAAATGAAGCTTTCACCTAGCAACTCTAATGTCCACATATTCCTGGTCAGTTGCGATCATCATTATGGCAGTAGAGGTGCAAAATTCACTTCATCTAACACTACCCAGTGATTACATTGAAATGAATGCTCATGGATTCAGGAAAAACTTGGTAAAGCAGACACATATTACAGAGAGGCATATCTATAGCCTAGAGGAGGAGGAGGGGAATTGGAAGGCGGAAACAGTACGAGGAGGAGGAGATTGGTGGTCTTCCCCATGGCGGAGAGGACGACGACGGGGCGCTCCTCGGGGAAGGCGAGGATGAGGCCCGCCACCTCCCGCATCCTCGCCGCCGACGACACCGACGACCCCCCGAACTTCATCACCACGCTCAGCTGGTCCCCACCTCCCACCCCGATCCCACCTAGGGTTTCCGCCGCGGCGGCGGCGGCGCCCACTCCCTTGGCCCGACAGCGAGCGGAGTCATCGGCGGCCGCCGCCGCCACCTCCAGTCTCCCGCCTCCGCCGCGGCGGCGGCGGCAGCGAGCCCTGCCCAGGACACCGATACGAGCTGCTCCTCCTCCTCCTCGTCGTCCTCCATCTCCCGCGCCGCCGATCGCCGGAGGGGCCGGCGAGACGAGGCGGAGGCGGAGCGGCGCGGCCGCTAATCGGAGAGCGATCGCCATTCTCCTCTCCTCTGCAGTTTGGTAGAGTGAGAGAGGGAGAGGGGAGCTCACTGTACTGGGTAGCGTGAAGGCGGTTTTTCGGTTTTACGTAACAGGACTCTAAAGGCGGAAAACGTAATTGCGAGAGTTCGCATGGATGGAGAACGGTGAGAGGCCCTCCCTGTGCTCTTCCCCCTTCTTTCCTAACTGACATCCATCATTTTCCACGCGCACATTTTTTAAGCTGCTAAACGATATATATTTTTTTAAAAGTTTTCTATAGAAAATTTACTTAAAAAATTATATTAATCCATTTTTCAATAATACTTAATTAATCTCGCTCTGATCGCTTGCTTTGATTCCGTGTCAAGAGGGGAAACCTTGCCTTCTGAACACATCCTGAAGTTGACGAGTGATAATAAACTTATAAGCTTACTAGAAATTTAGCATTGATTCTTTTTCTTATCGAATATCTCTCGAGCTAACATTGGCACGTTGCTAATGGGATCTAAGAGAAAAAGAAAATACTCCGTCTGGTCATAAATATTTAATGTTTAAAACAAAACTCGGTCAATCTTACAGAAGAATAATAAGTATATGATTTCAAAAGAAAAGAAAGAGAAAGGAATAAGTTTATGGTACTACTATGATAGTGTACTAACTTTTAAGAAAAATCTTGAAATACCATTTTTTTTAGTTTTTAAACTATTTAAACTAAGTACGTACTTGAAAAGTTATTGATGGTTAAAGTTTTAAAAATGTTTGACCGAATCTTATTTAAAACGTGAAATATTTATGACCGAACATGATTTTTCTACTGATTTTGAGCATAAGTTAATGCTGCATTTCAAATCTGGATTTGGTCCGGGAGGCTGATGGCAGGAGGCAACAACTGCTCCAACCTGCATGTCTGCATCCTGCTTTGCCAGGTTGGGGGACAGGGATCACTGAACCAGCACAGGGAAGCAGCCAATCCAATCCAATCCAATCCAACCAAATCCCTAACTAATCTCTTCATTTGTGTAATGTATTAGCCAGATGTGCATATGAGCAAATCAAATCTAGTATGAATCTAGTATCTATCACCTCAGCGTTGCACATAGGCATGATTCAGCTGGCAATGGCTTCCTCACTGTCTGCAAAAAACAGTTTGCATAAATAATAAGAGGCCAGAGAATTCAATTGTGTTGGATCAAGGACCAGACTGCCTGCCCGCTGATCAGTGACAAAATCATTGTTGGATTCAGAAGAGGCTGAATCTCTTGTGCATAAGCTTCTTTATTGTGCATCAAGCTGTGTGTGTCTGCATGATCGATGTCATGGAATTCATTCAAAAGACACTGGGTTCATATTCTCATCATGATAATGGACATGGTTTCAATGGACAAAGATCCTATTACATCACAAACAACATTCAGAAAAAAAAACGACAACAGAAAGAAAGAAACCCAGTTACATCATCATCATCACACATGTCTCTAGATGGCGAGCCTCATCTCATCAGTTCTCCTAGATAAACAGCATATATGCCATACTTACTATAACTTTTTGATAAACCAGATCATCTGATGCAAATGATCACTGATCAAATCCCAGTGCATTGGTCTTGACTGCTTTCTGACTTGCTGATTACATTGCGTTCTGAAGGCCAGCAGAGTGCAGGAGCACGGTCTTAATTTCTTCAGGCCCGAGTCCAGGACCATCCCTGCATTGCTGGCAAAACAGAAGTACAGAGCAAGCATTAAGAGAGTGAACAACAACGGTAGGATCAGATCGAACACAACTGAAAAAAAACCCTCAGCTGGAGGAGAAAAATATTATGATGTGGAGAATGCAAACCTCGGCGCGGAAAACATCCATTGCAAACCCATTGAAACAGCTGATGACCGCCTGCTCGATCCCGAGGCCAAGGCTGTCGAGAGCCCTCAATGTGGACATCAGAATGCCGGGCCTGCGTGCGCAGAACATGTGGATATTGACTGCATGACCTTCCCTCATCCTAACTTCGACCTGAACAAACAAGAGAGGTGAATGTCACTTGGTTGCTATACACCATATTGTTACCGCTACATGAATCAACAAGGCCTGAATGATCAAGTACTTGTGCAGACTGCAAAGTGCAAGTACCGCGAAATAAGTAATATTCCCTCCGTTCCAAAATATAAGCATTTCTTGTCCAGATACATAGCAAGAATTGCTTATATTTTGAAACAAAAGGAGTAGCTCCCAAGTGCGTTAATCTTGAGCACTAAAGCATGCTTAAGCATATAAGTATCAAGGGCCAATTGCATAATTGCCACTAGTGCAAAGGCTTAACAATCATGGTCAAAATTTGACTAACCGTGGCTTGTTGACCACTAGGGCTTGGAAATGAGGTTGGGCAAAGTTCCTCCTTAACGCGGCCAGGAAACGTCTGCAATGTGGGTGTTGATGGGTGGAAGCTAGCCGATGATGGTCCAGTAAGCGAAGAGCTAGGAGCAGACTCAAGTTCATTGTGAAGATCGTTAATCCTCTGCAGGAGCTCCTTCAAGTACTCAATTGCATCACCAAGGATAGAAGCTCTGTCCATCTGTCACAAAGGAGAAGAAAACTGGTAATGAGATGATAAACTATAGATATTAACATGAAACGAGTCAGACATAGTTGGCATTAAGAACACTTTGACATAAATTGTTTTGTACTGCTACACTAAAAAACGGCACATCGTACATGGCGCTGAATTGTTAGACTGCAACTTGTCATAATATCCCAAGAACTGTAGTACATCAGGTCTTTCTTTATTGTTCAAAACCATCTTGATCGCTGTGAAGGAAAGTAGTAAGTTCTTCACACGAAAGGACTGCAGAGAACTGAATATGCACTTCGCATGCCGAAACTTCCAAAGTGAACGACTTTTTTCAAGGAAACCAACAAAAGTTAAAGACAAAACATCCAACACGAAGAACTACAAAAAAAAAACAGAAAGAAAAGGGGGAAAAGAATTTGTGAGTTATCTGGTATCTGGTCACTTTCAACTACATCTTGTGCATGGCACTGTGTTAATCATGCATCACTAAATCTGGCCATGGATCAGAATCAAAGTTCCCCATAATATGTGTAATCTCAAGCTACGACAAATTATAAAGTCCTAGAAAAAAGACATTGAAGTATAATTTCAGAACTGAAATTACCATAACTGAACTGTAAAACAACCATCCAGCAAGCTGAATAGGAACTCCTCATGTTACCATGTGAACATGACAAGGTATGACATAGATCTAATGAAAAAAGGATGTTTTTTTGGATCTGAAGTGGAGCCAATTCAAGAATTCAGCACCAAAATTGGAACCAATTTCAGTGACAAATATCATGACAAACACACTCCTACAGGACCTACACCAGTATACATCACTCAAGAACTGAAACATGTTGCCAAAACTGAAATTAGAAAAGTAGAAATAGAAAATGCTGATTAATTTAATTAATAAGATACAGTCTAGTAGAAACTGGAGCTGCTGATTAATTAAATAATTAGCAATGAACAGTGAAAAAATAGAAATGAGGTCATTAATCACCTTGCTGATCTTGGGCACCACGGAGCGCAGCATGTAGAGGCGGTCGTTGAGCTTCTTCCTGCGCCGCCGCTCCGCCATGAGGTTCTTGGCCGGCATCCCCTTCTTCTTGCCCCTCCCACCGCCGCCGCCACCGCCGCCGCCTCCTCCGGCCGCCACGGGCGCGGCATTCTCCAGCGAGGCCGAGACACCCATGGACGAGGCGTCCACGCTCTGCTCGATCTCGTCGTCGTCGTCCCACCCCATCCCGCCGCCGAACGCGCCGCCGGGGGGCCCCAGGAACCCGAGCTTCTGCCCCGGCGGCGCGAGGAACGGGGGCGGCGCGTCGTCGAACGGGTTGGAGGAGGCGAAGTCGTGGAACGGCGGGAGCGCCGCCGTCGTCGTGGGCGGCGGCGGCGGGACGGAGGACGACGGGAAGGCCGCCTGGAAGTCGAACATGGCCGCGGCGGTGGCCGCGTCCATGTTGAGGAGCAGCGACGACGGGGTCGACGCCGAGAGCACGTCGCGGTGGTGGTGGTGGTGGTGGTGGTGGAACGGGAACGCCGTGAACGACGCCGCCGCCAGCGCGTCCGCCGCGAGGTACGACCAGTCGCCGCCGCCTCCTCCTCCTCCTCCCGCCAGCTCGTCCATCTTCGCCGCCGCCGCCGCCGCCTCCGCCTCGTCCATGGCAACCTCGCCGCCGCTTCTTGCTCGCCTCCTTGCCTCGCAGCGCTCTGAGAAGAGAAGAGAAGAGAAGAGGAGTCCGAGTAGAGACGCCATTGCTGCTGCTTCTTATAGGAGAGGAGAAAGAAGCAGCCTTGAGCCGATGTGCTTAATTACATTTATACCTAATTAATTAATTTAATTAGTTAAACCAAAACTTGCTTAACTTTTTCTTAAAAAAGGACTAATACTTACAAGGTTAATTAGCTTTTTTTTTGGTCTGACAAAAATAAGGTTAACATTACAAGATTAGCCTATGATATGACTATGATGACACTATGTTTTTTTTAATAGAGATATACATGCATGGCCAGCTTGTTCAGTTTGTGTCACGCTAGCTACAAAACATCTCTGGGTTTAATTGCAGAAAAAAAAAGGACGACTTTTTTTAGGTTGTTTAACACTTTGGTTTTTGGTAATTGCATCTTTCTGTTCGTTGCAGACGTGAAACAGACAAATCTGACAAGATAGTACAAGGGCTATACGGGAGGTGTTTTAATTGGAAACAGTGTTGTTCTATTTCCTTGCTTTATAATTTTTTTTACAAGATTCATAATTGTAAAAAGCTGTGATATTCTGCGTATTTACTTCTTTTATGCAGTGTTTTGCTGCAATGTTGAAACAAAAACTGTTGCACCGGGGTAGAGACGGCAGGAGGCGAGGAGGGGCTTGGTCTCCCAAATGGCTTCGAATTTTTACGGCAATAGGTTTCGCAAATTTTCAAAAAAGTAACACTTTGGCCTTCTTCAATCAAAAAATTTTTAAAGTGTTTTTGGCTCCGCCTTTGCACCTAATAATTTACAAAATTCTAAAATGTAAAAAGCTGTCTTTATATTATTTTCATGTTATTGTTTTTTTTTATAAATTTGTTTTTATGCAGTGTTGTGCTGCCATGTTTGAAACAAAAAACTGCTCCACCTAATCATTCACAAAAATTCTAAAATGTAAAAATCTGTGATATTCTGTATATTATTGTTTTTATAATTTTTTTATGCAGTGTTGTGCCGCCATGCTGAAACAAAAACTGTTGCACCTAATGAAAGAACAAATGACCTGGCAGACATGTCTCTTGAAGCTTAGATGGATCAAAAGGGCCAAAAAGAAAGATGTTTTTTTTCTAATTGATACGAAGAACCTGCAGGGAGGTGTACACGTGTAAGGCTGCCTACTGCACCCAGTAGCCAAAAGTTGCCTTCTGTTTCTAATCTTTGGATGGTCTCACAAAAACAGATGCTTATCTACTGGTACCTTGTGGACATATGTAAAAACTGTCTTTAGCCAACAGATTTGTCAGTTGCTTTAGCTCATTGGTCAATTTTATTCTATTTCAGCTTTCCAAGTATACTAAAGTTTAGGACGATATATGGACTTTAGCTTAAATATAACACGGCATTGAGGAAAACCTGCATATAATCTATTAGCAATATGTAGGATAACTGAAACGTAGCATCTTATCTAAATGGATCAGCCATATGATGTGTATTGGATGCATTGTATTTGTATCTAACGTGGTGAGTCAATCATTCAGATATTTTAGAAACCTGTAAAATTTTCACTTAGAACACATGTGGTTATTAAAAAATTGAAAAGGAGGGAGAAGAGAGATAAAAAAAAAAAGAAGAGGGAATGATCATTCTATTCACGGTTTGAGAATGAGAGGAGGGTACATGATTACATTGCTGCTCAACACACCTCGAGAGTGTGCAATGCAACATGCCCAATTACAAGTTCTCCCAAGCATCTTGTGACCCTGCCGGAGATGAGCCAAGAAAATCATAGGATGGAACACAATGGAATAGAATTGAAGGAGAAAACTGTGGGCAAAAAAAAAAAAAAGTATGCCCTGCCCACTACACTAGGGCTAGGGATCACATGAGTTCCTGTAAAGAGAGAGAGAGAGAGAGAGAGAAATTTGGTTGCTCTTGCCATTCGCTGGTCTAAATTGTCATGGTCAATTTTTACACTATAACTATTATCACAAGTTGGCACGCTAATACAAGAGTGCTGAACAAATAAAGGGCAAGAATTTTTAAAAACAAAGATCTGAACATTAGAGAAGGGAGTGCTAACTAGTGCTAGCTTGGATATAAGTTTCAAGTTAAACACATATATGTGCACAAATAGAAAGACAAGTTCAAAGACCTTTGTCTGTTCACCTGACATTTAACGTTGACAATGTTTGCATCTTCATGTATGCCTCTACCATCGACGCCTATGTCCTAATTTGATGCCTCGACATCTCAACATGTCATAGATCACCATATCACCACAACAATAATTGATAATTTTGCATCTTAGATCTCATAGTATATCCAATAGATACAGTCGGTAGTAGCCAACCTCAACGCTTCCAAGAGTCGATGCGCCATCACCATCTATATATATGGTCTATTGTCATCACTAGAATTCGAAACAACCATCGTACCGCTAGCTGGTGAAACTAACCACTGGTTGTGACCATGGATAGGGGATGACAGTGCTATTGAGTTTGTTGAGTATGGGAGAGGAACAAGAGAGGGGAGAGCAGATATAGGCTAATGACAAGAGGAATTATCTATTTATAGACTAATTTTTGGGTGGGCTATACGTTAGAGGTGAAGCAGTGCAAAACAAGAGGAATGAGATAAAAAACTTACTGCGTATGTGACGTAATATATAGTAGTGAGGTGGAAAACATAGACACTCATAGTCATGCGCTATGGGCATCTATCTTGTGGCTACACATTATGCTTGTGCAGAAGCCCCCTTCTGTTTCCAATGAGTTTGATTACTAATTGTTGCAAATCAGAAGATGGTAAAAAAATATATAGATGATGTGATGTATTTGTTGAGGGTTGGAGATAAATATGAAAGCGTGGAGTACGTGTCAAGATAGAGTGAGTAGTAAATGCATAATGAAAAAGAAAGAAAGAAAGAAAACTTAGGGCACTATATCACTGTATCCGATGCAATAAGGTAATGGATTGAAAAACTTAACCGCTATTTTTTTTCGTACACATTTTATGGCCACCCACATATTATGTTGGTGTAGAAGTTACATGTCTATATCCAAACCCTGTCCATGTGGAACTAATGTTGATCATAGTGTTATAAGGGGACAACCTCTAACAAGCCAATGGTGTTTTTTACCCTATTGTAAGAACACTTCTAGATCCCCTTAAACACATCTTGTTATATACTACTACCTCCGTCCTTAATATAAGGGATTTTGCGTATGGAGTTGCATAGGTAAAATCCCCTATATTATAAAATGTAGGTAGTAATTTGGAACGGTGAGAGTAAGTGTTTGTCAAGCGTACTATAAAAAAAATCCAATGTTTTTGTGTGGAATTCATAAAATCGTGTCAACATCCATCGCAGGAACATAAGTCCCATCTTGGTAGTTCTCATTCCGTCCCAAAAAAAACACTTAACGTAGGATAGGATGTCACATATAACAAAGAATCCAGATAAGCTTCAATTTGTTCAGATTTATTATCCTATATTAAGCTTTTTTTTTGAGGGGGTACATGTCTTTGCTGACAGGTCAATTGTAGCTCTCTACTAGATCTGATTACATCGAACCCTTGATTTTGAGAGGCCACTTGTATATCATCAACTTGCAGTTCCAGGTGCTGCAGCATACTTACAACTCTACCGTCCATTCATAAATTTGTCATTATTTTTGTTGAAATTAAATCAACATCAACACAAAGTGTAGGGTGAGATGAGGCCAGTGTCATCAAGAGGGGAAAAAAAGCTGGATTCTATTTCAGCGTGGCTCCAAAACACATCTTTATTTTTTCATGCAAGCTAGAAAACTGAGAAACAATTAATTCAATAGCAAAATATAACTCATGCAAGCTAGAAAGGATATGGGCTAATCTGAACCGTCAAGATACCATCTAGGGATATCAAAAATAAGTGATGATGTGCCTTTTTATGGTGGCTAGCTTATTTATACTCCCTCCGTTTCACAATGTAAGTCATTCTAGCATTTTCCATATTTATATTGATGCCAATGAATCTAGACATATATATCTATCTAAATTCATTAACATCAATATGAATGTGGGAAATGCTAGAATGACTTACATTGTGAAACGGAGGAAGTAGCAATAAGTACATTAAAGCAGATTGCAGCTACTCGCCTACTCCCTCCATCCCAAAATATTTTTAATTTTCACCCATCTCACACGTACCGATACAAAACAAAAGGACTAGAATGCATCTACTTTATTGAATCTCAATGCAATTGTTCCCCATTTTATCTATTCTCAATACAATTATTTCATGCTTTCATAAACTCCGATACAATGATTATTATAAAAATAAATTTATTTTGGAACAAATGAAAAGAGCTAAAAATGGAACTTATTTGGAACAGATGGAGTATGTAGAACACATGATCGTGGTGGATCTTATGATATCTTTTTGCGAACACATCCTACAATACAATTGCATATAAATATAAGTATATTTACAAAAATATAAGCAAGGGTTGTGTATTAATTATAAGTCTTGTTTTGAAGACCTAATTTCGTGCATAATTGCACGTGAAAATCCATTATTAGTTCGTGAGAAAACAACGGCTCCCATCGGATGGCCTATTCAGCCAAAGAAAAAGCCAAAATTTGAATTTTCAAACTTAATTTTGATATTGATTTTGAGATATTTTCAACGTATTTTCTTTTTCAGCATTGGCTTTTAAGTCACCGAGAACACATATATGAAAGTTTTACCTACAAATTTATTTTTATTCTCTAATAAACCGTTTTGGCTTATTAAAAAAAAGCCAAAAGATAAGGCCCAATAACAAAAAAAAAAACTACGCGTATTGCGATGAGCTACCAAACTAGTTGGGGCTAGAAAGTGCCACACTAGTAGCAATACCCAACCGTATGCGATGGAGACGGCACGACAACGAGGCTTAATTTTTTAGCGTGTAGGCGAGGGAATGAGCGAGCGAGAATGCGTCCATGACCATGGATGATCGATCGATCTGAATCGGATGAATGAATGAATGAATGCAAGAGCTGAAAGGGAGTGAAGAATAAATAAGAGCAAAGCAAAGGGAAAAGGGGGAGCGGCCACACAACCAGGCTTCCCGTGA